TATAAAGACCGTGAGTACTAAATTGAAGGAATCTTATGGAATTTTCGGGCGGGAGTGAGATGGGTGTGCTTATCGCCTCCAGTTTTTCATCAAAATTGCACCCCTCGCCTTCGCGTACGTCGTGTTTTTAAGTTCGCGGTCTGGAAATGGTTTATTGTTAGCAGAGGGTGAGGTGCAGGACACCCTATATGCAGTACCCCAAGCTGAAGGTCGTTTTCTCCGGGTGCTGCAGGGATGCCAGAAACGCCCGATAGGAATCGGCTGATACACCTGCCGGCGACCGCACTGGAGTACATATTGTATATATTTATATATGTACGCACAACAATATAGTACGCTGTATTGCGGTGCGATATTAATGTTCGCCAGTTTTTCTACGTCAAATTTACCAGTCCCCGGTGCGTTCTGTCACCGGCCGAAAACCCTTTAAATGTGGCGCATTAAACAAACTCGAAAATCCACGAGACTCGTGTATAATATATATATATATAGGGTTAAGTGGGCTGTATAGAGGCGTACCTCACCCGCACCGAGGTTTCCTCTTATTTTCACATTTCTCGGGACGCCGTGTCGTCGTGGCCGTCGCATATCGTTCGACCGTAAAAACGATCGATGGTCACTTTCGCTTTTGTCGTCAACTCATACGAATACATATATATATATATGATGGGGTGCGTGTAAAACGAGCTGATTCCGAAATGTACGGCTATTTGGAGGAGGAAATTGCGCGGCAATCCGTCTGGCACACACAACGCGTATGCGTCTAAATGTATAGGTATAATATAACGTAGTGGCAATATAGTATAATGTGTACCTACCAGTCTATATACACAGGTACAATATCGTCGTACTTATTGTATTTTTATGCGTTGTGCAATACTTTAAACGGCTTTTCCAATAATTCCGTCCAAAAAGGTATCGAAGCTTTCCTCATAACCTGAACTATCAAAGATACATAATAGGATCATGGATTTCCCACACAACGACTGAACAGTGTGCATTTTTGCAACGTATTTATATCGTTATTGCGCCGTTGTGAGGGTTCAGTATTCGATACTAGATCGTAGGTGCGTGTGAGCCTCGAGAGGACGTGGCCATGTAATATTATTGTAATCCTACAAATAAAGAAAAATATTATTTCGGTACACTAAAAATAGTTCGCTATAGATAGTATTATACTACAGGACGCGGTAGAGTCAACTGGCGGGATTTCCTACTAATTTTAATAAAACTGTTTTTCTCCAAGTTGTACTGTTAGTTATTTACGGCCCTCAAAACTCGTTAGTTGGCTCTGCCACGCGCCCACACCCTGTATTACAGTATTCGTGAATACATTATTTTATATAAGTACTCTTGGGAATTACGAGGCGATCGTCGACGAGCTATATTATTACACTACCTATACCGTTATATAATAGAGTATTAAATTAATTTCGTCGTTAGTGTATAAATGTACCTGTATTAATACACGGAGTGACACGATAATCAACGAATTTTAAAGCGTTATGCGGAAATGGGACGCGACCTCCTCTCCCACTACCCCAATTTATTATTGTACGGATTTTAATGTGGGCAAATTTTTTTCCCCAACCCGCGTCGAGTTCGTCATCCATAAATGCACGTATAAGAGTAAATTACATAATACCTAGGTATATATAAATGTATTGAGAAAAAAAACACGCAGGCACTCAAGTCATTAGACATTTCACATTACCGGTGGCTATGAGAAATAAATTACGACTTCGTTTTCAAACGAGCCTTGACGACGGTCGATATTTAATTTTCTCGGTGAAAAGTCCCCAGTGGAAAAGTAGGCGGGTATACACATCTAATCAACTTAATCGCATTGGAATTTTAAAAAAAAAATCACAGTATTTAGATGATAAGAATTGAACAATGTAATACTCACAATCGGTTTAATTCGACGTTCTGATTGAATAAACCAACATTATATTTTAAAATATTTTTGATGAAATTCGAAAGTCTGAAGTGAACATAGAATTATTTAGGAAATTAAGTAAATATAATAACGTAACTCGAGTATCAAACAGAGTATTAAGCCACGCACTTGAGGATTATCTATACTGACCACATCACTCTTCTTATCAAATCACCGTGCACTGAGACATTTAAGAACATTTTAAATTTCAACATTTTATGAATATTTTTTTGATCCAGAATTATGGAATAAAATGGATAATAAAGCTTCATATTTTCAAGTTCAATGTTAGTGCTGCAATGTCATCTAAAATAAAAATAAATGTATAAAAAATATTCAAATATTAGAATTTGGTTAAAATAAAGATGCTTCAAACGATGACAAAAATATTTTTTAAAAATCGTTGAATAAACTTGAAAAAGTAATTTTAATGAACTTTCGGGATTTATCATTGAATATATTACTGTGTATTTATATAAATAAAATGGTCTTTAAATACTCAATTTAATTACAGTCTTTTATTTTCTTTCTAATTAAATTCGTCCTTTTTGAAAATCTAAACAGTAAACAAAAACTTTGTTTCCACGAATATCGAAAAAGCGTTGTTTCTGTTATTACTCAAATATGCTTAAAAAAATATATTATATTATATTTACGCTTTCTCGTTTATTATATTAATGTTAATATACAAGTAAATTAACTACACATTTAACAGTGATATAGGTTTGTGGTTTATATGCTAATCATGCAGTAACCTTATTGTAGGTGTATTACAAAAATCAGAAACAGGAAACGCCATTGAAATACGTATATTATAATATACATCGGAGGAAATATACCATCATAATATGGGTAAACGGATTAAAAAAAATCACTGTAACTAATGAACCGAACAATTGTTATCGTTTCATTGACTTTTTCGGGACTAGAAAATGGGGGAAAACGTTTTGTGTCCTTTTTTTAAATAATCGACGATAAAGATTGTTACTGTCGAGACGAAAAAACAAGAGTCTAACATAAATTGTTTGGGGAAAAAATAGCATTCCAAATAAACATGTTGTTATTTTGTCCGTCGTCGTTTACGAAAAAATAAAAAAAAAAACGTTTCCTTTTTTCCGTTACACTAGAAATAGCCGCACTGGAGACCATTCGATAAAGCCCAAAACACTTAAAGTAAACACTACACGACTAACAAGTATAAAAATATATAAAAACAAAAAAGTACCGTTTTTCTACAAACACAAACAGTTTGTACATAAAAATAAAATAAAAATAACATCGCCAATTTCTGCCTACTATATTGTAACAAATAACGGCCTTTTCAGAAACTGACGTTTTACAAAGCGTATTATTATTCTTGTTTTTGTTTTATTGGTTTAGTGCCTCAGTGGTTATTATTTCGTTTCTCTGCAGTAAGTAAAGGATGTCGTTATAATTAATTTCACTATAGAGTCAATAATTGAACACTGTGTTTACTGATATCCTCGTGGTTTCGTCGTATATTTCGAAATGTTAGTCGTAAACTTTAAAACGGTCCAATAAACGCGTTAGAGCTTATAATATATTGTATGGTATTAAATATTATACTATAGGTACTCATAGGACTGGGCAATAATCAGTTACGTATGGTATCAAAGTTGTATTTTGCAACTTATATAATATAACTTGCAATCACTTTTGTAGTTTTCAAGTGACAGGTTATTACAATTGCCTAGTAATTTTAAATACACAATACACGTCATAATATTGTATAGTTATTATGAATTTACATTTAAATATGTAATAATTTCTTACTAAATACTAATAAATAATAATTGAATGATTTCAATATCGTTTGTGTCATCATTTTTCAATAAAAAAAAATAATACTGCGTACAACGAGCAAATTTTAAATTTTAACAAGTTAATTATTTACATAAAAATTGGTTATATTTTAGAAAAAAAATCCGACATAATATAGATATTTGTAATTTGCTCAAGGATTTAAAGCTTAAATACATACATGGTAAAAATTACATTTTGCAATATTTTGTAACCAATGTTTTTATACATTTCTGTGTTAAGTTTAGTTGTATTAACCTACTATCTATAAAAACATTTAGTAACATCGTAATTTTCTTGAAGAGTTAAACATAAATCATTGATTAACTTGTAACTTTAAAAGACGTAGCAAAGTTACTCCGACTGTTATTCATAACCGCTTGGAAACTGTCGAAGTGTATTATCTTGCAACTATAAATACACAATATTGCAGTGTAACTTGTAACCAGTTACAACTAATCGATTGCTCATCTTCCCCGAATACATAATTACAAGAATATTGTATCAATCCTAGACGTTAAGGCATTTTAGGTTAGGAAAGGTCCGCTTCTATACGAACCTTCTATAGCAGTAAATGCAACCACTTATATTACAAAGATCCTGAACACTCGCATATGCACACATAGAAATATTGGAGTTGAATTCAGTTTCAATCAATTGTTAAGTAACTAAATGTTAAATTAACTGTAATTTGTATAATAAATAACAACATTGAAGTGTTGTATTGAATGTCGAGTCCTACACTACGTTTAGTTAGAACACTCATTACGTATATTCATTGTTAACCATATTCTATATTTGAATTAAAGAAAAAAAATGTATTCAAAGTATATGAACGGTTAAATTAAGTTTTTTTGATGTAACTTTAAAATCATATCCATTAATAACTTAACAATTCCATATTTAGTTAATCATGATTCAAATAACCGCAGTTGGCGTGACCTGAGAATATTTTATACTTCAATATAATGTACTTCAGTGCCGTGGACAGGTGCAGAACTTGGAGCACATTTTCCCTACAACAATAAATATTAAAATAATACATTATATTGAATCGATCGGTTGATTGAATCAAAACGACGTAATATACCTGGCTCGTGTGTGATGTGTTTATTTTACAGTAACCAACCCCTTCACTTCACGCCCACACAAAAAAATATACAATTATAACAATATTATAATAAATTGCAGTATACTGTGTGGGATATTTTTTTTTATTATTTCCGTTCTCTGTCAACAGGCGAACACCCTGCAGCAATGCAGCACGGCAACCGGAGTGCGGTCAGCGGCCAGATGACCGTCCACGTGCTAGCCCTGTTCAGCCTGGTCATAATGCTGTCCAATCCGGTGCTGTTCGGACACTGAGGAAAGCAAACCGAGGATGGCGAGGATGCGATGGCGGCGCCGCCGTCTCGTCCTGACCTCTCCTTCGACCCCCAAGCATCCACATACCCCCGCCCTCGCCGCCCTCCAGGCACGGTACGCCGCGAAATCTTATTTTTATTCGTCAGCCCCGGGACGAGTAGGAAGACGACCGGCCAAACAGACGCGGACGGTGTTTCTCTTCTCTTATACATATTATACTACATACATAATATAATGCATAATATTATATATATTATATAACACTATAAAATATATAAACATTTCACGCGTACATATATAATACTATATTATATCCGTCGTATATTATGGTGTTTTTGGAAAAAAAAAAAAATTTTGAACTGTAAAATTGTAAAATAAACGATCGGCCGAAAACGTGTCGCACGTCTGTCCAACGATTCGGTGACCATTACCGTGGTGCAGGTGGGGGGGCAGCAGGCGAGCCCGAGCCCGGATAAATTATCGTTATTCGAGCGCGCGCGACGTCGATTTTTTCTCGACGATTCGTCCCTAAGGGTTACTGCACATAATATAATATACAATATACAGAGACAATCCTTGACCGGAGATCACGCGCCGTCGGGGGGGGAGGACGTGCTTGCGTTTCGGCGTGGACGCGTGCTCAACGGACGGACGACGCCCGTGTCACGAAGTACACAGCTGACTCGTTCGGAGTCGACGAGATCGGACGACCGTCGTTTACTCGCCGGTCTCGAAGATTCGGAATTTCGTTCGCGTAGACCTTTTTATTCGTCGTGCGATAACAGTGTTATACATGTTACACCTATTATAAATGCGACATCCTCGAGGGACGTGCCGTTTATCGATTGTGCAAAGAATGTTATCACTGTTATTATTATTATTATTATTATTCGATTTTGCTAAATGTATTTCTCTGTACTATTCTGACAAGGGGCCGAATACCGGTGTATTCGGACCTATGTATATATAATACATAATATTATATATATATATACCTACTACACAGGTATATAAAAACAAAAAATTTCTATACGCGCAAGTAATAATTCATTGTTTCCTCTTCATCCGTTTGATTCGGAACGAAAAAATAAACACAATCACTCTCATCCCTCTAAACATAGTATATACACGTATAATATAATATATATTATATACATAAAATATTATATACCTATATATATATTATACGCACATCACGTCACGTACATATACACATATACATTCATAAACACACTATATTCTGTCGGATCGGAGGTCAAACAATTTTTCATAGTTTTTCGTGTTTCATTTTTTATTACCGTCGAACAAAGCGGAGGAAATATTCCTTTTATCGCACCCGCGTGATTTTGACCTTAAACATCGTCCTCGCGCACACACAGTGCGATACGGCAACCGCCATATTTTTATTATTATTGTTATTATTATTATTATTTTTATTATTATTATTATTATTATTATTATTATTATTACGAAACGTCCAATGAAATTATAAAACATACTAACCGTCGTTGGCGCGCGGTAATGAGTTTGAACGCATTTTGAGCGACTTTTTAAGATACAAAATAAATCCCGAAAACCTCTAGCGGCGCAGTTTTATTTTCACAGTTTATCATTAACCGTTAATCGGTCTAGCGTGAGTGAATTTTCGTATAGGTATATCTACACAATATCTCTACTATCGCACACTGCACAGGGGTTAGATTACACCGTCAATACGCAATGTGTTAAACGTGTATGCGATATTGTATTCGACAGGGTAGTAGATTAGAAAAATGATTTTTGAGAGAAAAAAAATTCTTCAAAATATGTCACTAATTTTTATTTTTTGTTTACAAAACATTTAATAATGCATGGAGACGCCTACGACCAACGCCAGGGTCGTAACTCTAAAGTAAAACTTTAAAATTTTAATTTAACTAATCAAAAAAGTTTCATACCTACTCAAATCGACGATAATGAATTTGTTATGTGCGATGTACGTACTAATTATTAAACGACTAAGATGTAAGATCGATAAACGTTATCGGCAGTTCACTTTGTCATCAGGAAAAAAAAATAAATGAAACAATAATTACTAATTGAGAAGATAGTCTTACAAAACTTGATTAATCTAATACCAATGCGTAGGTATTAGATAGGTATAGCCCCTCTACAGACTAATCAATCGTTTTAGGCACGAAGAAAATCGAAACGCAATCGTTAAAATAAAACCACAATGCGTAAACAAATTTTAGATCGTTTTTATATTACACCGCACAATAATCTAATTATTAATCGACTTTAACGAGTATGTATATATAGCAGTTTTAACCGCACCTCTGTCCAAGTCAACTAATCCACCAGCGAGCTATCTGGGTGTGTGTGCAATGAAAAATGTAAACGACGGATTTTTATACTATACCCGACGTACAGATAATACCTGATATACCTATAGCTGATACTAGATGATGGCATAGAAGTTCAGAAATATCACGAAGTTTAACATTGGTAATTATTGTTAGTAACGAGACCCGACGATGTTAAAATTTAAAACGCTCTACTATATACTACTTCAATATACCCTCTGCGAGGGTAGTTCGTAAAATCGGACGCAGCCCTTCACCCGCGGCGTGAGTTCAATACCGTTACATTTTATACATATATATAATATATACCATATCATATACCTACTACTACTATTATAGTATATATTGATACCTATTACTAGGCCGTTAAAACCCCATAAATGTATACAGGGTGATTATTTTATTTTCGGTGAAGACCAGGCGCTGTGTACGAATTCGTTTATTATTGTTTTGCAACTTTTAAGTGTTAACGTATTTGAGTTAGGAAATAATAAACACAGAGAACACTGCTGTGGTCGTTAAAATATAAAAGTGCTAAAAACGCACCCGGACAAGGTGTGGCCCGGTTTGCGATAAAATCAATAATCACCCTGTATATATATATAAAAACCACGTGCACAGTATATATAGTTTATATTATACACTCGACGTTACACGACATATAATAATAATAGGTATAATATACGTTAAAATTTAATGAACCGAAAAAATTCGATTTACGGTCGCGACTTTATACGGCAGGTACCATTCCCCCCCCTCCTCATCCGGATATATTTAATCTGGCGTATACGTAACATCTACAGCTAAAAGTCAATTACCCGATTACCGAACGGCGGATCACGTTTTCCACTGACTTATACGCAGTAGTACAAGTACAATGATGATGATGATGATGATGATGATGATGATGATGGTAATAACAACAATATAGGCGTGTATTATCACAGTGCAGTTTGACTCACGAAAGCTTTTTTTTAGCGCCAAGATCCGAAGACGTCACTGGAAAAGTCCAAATGAATAGGTTACTATCGGTTACGCAATACATTTCCCAGTACACGTAACATAATATGCAATCCAAGTTTTATTTGAAAAACGTTTTTATTTTTTTCGACCAACAGGAAAAAACGATAACGATTAAAGCGCGCGCACAATCGATTCGTATCCATGACGTGTCGTTTTAATCGTTATTAAATTATAATGAAAAACGACGCGAAACGTTTAAAATCTGTTTTCCAATACCATACGTTATCTTAAACACATACATAGTATCGTTAGGATAATAATATATACGATCCGAACAGATGTCGCACACTTATACAACTCTATAGCAGTAGCAGCTCATGTCAGACATGCGCAAAAGTATCATCTCCAGACGGTGTCATCTCATTCAAATGAGTAAAAATTAAAATACACAACTGCAAAGAATATGAGACACTGAAATTCGTCATGGCGCTAAAACCATTATTAGTTTCACAGAAACGCAGAAATCGATTTTCCATTTCCATTTATGATTTCGGCGAACACCGTTTATAATTATTATTTGTTTCTATATTTCCATGTTGTCCAAGTGTTTTTTATTATTCTGTGTTGTTGTTGTTCTTCTTCTTCTTATATGTACGAGAAAATTATAGTAAAATAAAGTGAAGCGCAATTCTGTTGTGAATGTTAATTTCAACAACCAGATAACGATGACTGTCTCTCCATCTGCAAATTATACAGTCACTCAATAAGAACAGGAAATAATAAATAGTATATTTATTAATATATTATAGGGTGTATATGAAATATTTTATAAATTCGCTACTGAAATTAAATTTAAATATCTCATATCTTCCAGGTGCATCCTGTATGTGTACCAATAAGTATAATATACCTGTATACGAATATACTGCGACGGTTATATGAATATTATATTTTGTTTTAAACTGGCTTTCATTTTTCTCCGCTGCGAGGACTACTACTGCCGTATTAACGAAACGTACTTATTTATTGAATTCTGCGCGACAGAAAATAAGAGAGCTTCATAAAAATAATGTCACATTTTACTCACCCCCGCGCTACACATCTCTATAATAATCCTTGCCGTTCGGCGACTTTCACTCCACCCTCTGGGGACCTCGGAAACGGACGTCATTTCTTCTACCCTCGAGGCTATTAGAAAATATGGAATTCCCGCGGTCATAAATTCACATATCCTGCAAATTGAAAATACTACCGAGTCTTCGTTGTGTGTGTGTGTGTATATATAGGTAGCTACTTTATACCAACTTTATGTGTTCCACATAAGTTTGGTCGTACTCGAATTCGGCCTAAAATCGTCATACGAAAACACTGTAAACACGAGGATATAAGTGAGTCAAAGGCTTTACGAGAAAACGCCTCCGCCGCTTGTTTTATATCTGTTTTTACGCGTTTTCCGTTTATCCTGCACATAGGTACCCACGCTTCGATTACTTTGCATAGAAACCGGAAAGCCGTAGTAGTCATAAAAAAAATTCTTACCCGACTAAACACGCGGGCGAAAAACACGAGATACAAAATTCTGTTTCTCGTTTACCCGCAATATATGCTATGCATATCATCCCTGAAACCGGGTACATCTTATATTACCTACCTTTTGTATAATTTGAAACACAGACTTTGACAATCGATTTCTTTCCACGACGCTCCGTGTTCACACTATGTCATATATAATATTATATTTTGCAAACTATTAAAATAATGCTGCGCATTAATTAGAATTGTAACATAATTCTTAACGAGTAGGTTGAGACGGTTGCAGAGGAGGAGGTGCGTGAGTTAGTGGGGAAAATGACGTCTCGTTCCGGATGATGACAATACTTCAATATATTATATACCACTCGATATATTGTCCATAACGAATAATATGATGATGGGAAAAAAGTTTCCGTCGGCGCGAACAACTATTATTACGAAGCGA